AGGAGAGAATAGCTATAGAGTTAGAGGAGGAGAGCATCTTGAGGCCTTGTATCAAGGTGTTGCTTGAGAGGGAGGCCATAGAAGGAAGATGAGGGCTCATCTCTATGTATAAGCTATGTATTCTCCATTTCTTTTGCCTTAGTGAAATATTTGATTGATTCCCTCCCGTGGACGTAGATCCAGTTGGATCGAACCACGTAAACGATCTGTGTTTGCTTGTGTTCTTTTTCGTCTCATTTCTATGCCAGGAAGTACATATCTCACAACATTTCACCTTAAGCTGCTGGAGTTTTGCCTTTGCGTTTGCTGCTTGGGGTTCCAATGTTGTTTTGGTTTTACATACATAGCACTTGAAAACTTGTTACTTGCAAAGCTTGCATTCACTTGCTTGGTGCTTTGCTCTTTTAAAAATCTGAAAGGGCTTTATTTGATATTTGCAATGGGAGGGAGATCTTGGTGCTTTGCTCTTTTAAAAATCTGAAAGGGCTTTATTTGATATTTGCAATGGGAGGGAGATCTTGGTGCTTTGCTCTTCTAAAAATCTGAAAGGATTCCTCCGCGCTTTGCTTTTTTTTACAAAAAAACCTGAGAGTTTCGGGCGACCTATTTGTAAAAATCTGAAAGTTTTGGGTGGTCTATTTGCAAAAATCAGAAAGTCTCGGGTGGTCTACTTGTAAAAATCGGAAAGTTTTTGGTGGCCTAATTGTAAAAACTTGAAAGTTTTGAGTGACCTATTTGTAAGAATCAGAGGCATTGGGCGTGGGGAAATGCAATTGTTGCACGTTTACATTTGCGATGTTGTATTACTTGTGAGAGATGTTGGAATGAAGAAGCTTTTAGGAAATGACTAAGGCTAAAAATTTATGAAAGAAACTTTACATTTATTTATCACCTTTAATTGACTTGATACAAACTCAAAGATTCCATCCCTATTTATACTAGTGGCACCTCCTAAATTAATGACTAGGATTATGTCAATACAATTCCAATCTAACGATTACAAATAATTTCACACCTACCACACAATAATTCCACACCTACCACATAATAATTTCATACCTACCATACATTTTAGAATAAGCTTCTAGATGAGACATGCCTCTAGAATTAGGCTTTATTTTAACAACTAAAATCAAGTTTATATTTCAACAATATATTTCAATACTTGACACTCAATTCTTATACATTTACATTTCTAATACCTAAACTTTTTGTCTTTTACATAGACACCACCATATGAATTACAAAGGGAAGTTTTACGTACATTCCCCACTTTATATATATATATATATATAGACACACACACACACACACACACATAT